ATTAGTGAGACTAAGAAAAATCAATAGTATCAGGAGTTAACTTCTCTACGTCAACAAACAGATGAGTCTGTAGATTCCTATGCTAATAAATTCAAGAAATTAGTGACTCGTATAGGATTAACAGATGATGCACAGAAGAAAAGGATGTTTCTCATGGGACTAAATCCTGCTTATACTCCGTTAGTCTATTCACAAAATCCAGCTGATTTAGATGCCACTGTAAATTCTGTGCGAATTATTGAAATCGAATATAATTTTGCCTTTGGAAAAACTCCTAAAGATATAAGTATTACCACAGTTTCCACTCCTAAAAAATGTGGTTACTAATGCTAAGGTGGATGAGCTCACTAAGAAATTAGAACAGCTGTCTATTAATTATGCCAACCTGACGACTGCCTTATTAGCTCAACCTCAACAACCACCAAGGAGACGAATTGAGTGATTCTACAATGATACTAATAGAAGACCAAAACAAAATATGTCTTCCATGACTTACTATAACTGTAATAGGGAAGGCCACATAGCTAGATATTGCTCTCAACTTCGTCAACAACCAAGAGAAACTAATAGAAGATCTCGTAATAATAATACAAGAGACATACATCTTGCTGACTAATATTATGAGAAAGAATATAATGGCGAGGAATATACTTCAGAAGAATATTATGAAGAAGGCGAATATGAAGTCTATCTTAATACTAGGTCTGGACCTTACCTAAAGAATGCTGTGTCAAAAAATAAACGAAGACCAGTAAAGTTTCAAAATCCACCCAAAATAACTGTTGAAGAATTAGAAATGAAAGAACCAACACCAGAACCTGTGGTCGAACCAGTTAGAACTGAAAAAGCATTAAAAGCCCCTAAAAGGAGTTGTTACCTGCTCCTATTGAACAACTAACAGAATTTAATGTTTCAACTTATTTGCAAAATCTACCATGTGGACTCTTGGTAAGACAAGCCGCACATGCTATCCTCAAATATCATTCTGGTTTAGCTCGAGCTATCAGACGCTCAAGAGAAAGAGCCACTGATGAAACTAAGGAAGCCAATTTAGTAGAAAGTGATGATGAATCAACCTCAGCAGCGAAATGCACTTTGAGAATTGGACAAAAGCTCAAACTGCAATTATTGATAGTGGAGCTGTTACCAGTATCATAACCAGAGCCTTAGTAGAAAAACTAGGATATAAATTAACTGATCCTCAAAAATGATAGTAGTAACAGCGAATAGTGCAAGGACTTGTTCCCTTGGAATTATCGACAATGTATCAGTAAAGATTGGAAAAATTAATATACCCACTTCCTTTCAAGTACTCAAATCTAAAGATGAAATCCTTATACTTAGAAACGATTGGCTCAGAGTAACCAATGCTACTATGAGTTGGGAACAATCCATTCTTACTATTAAACAAGATGGAATTACCATAAAAATTCCTATTGCATTTACAAAAACAGCTAAAGTTGTGACTCAGGAAGCTGAAGATGAATATGAAAGTGAAGAAAATGAGGACGAATATTTAGAAGAATATCTTATTTATTTATCTGACGATGTTAACTCAGAAGAATCAGAGTTGGACGATGAGTTGGGATTCAACCCATGGTCTGATTATTACTCTCCTATTCAATCTGAAGAGGATACTGATGATAATGGAGAATTAGAAGAACCAATAGAAGACAACCCAGCT